TTATTAGATATATTTACTAGATTTATTAAAATATATTTTATAAATCATAGAATAAACAAAATTTTATCATTAATGTTAAAGAAAGTGAGTAATTTATTCGATGTGACTAGAAACATAATTAAGAAATATAATATTTAAATATCAAAATTGTAATATCGAACATAAAACTGATCGATGTAGACAATCGAATTTTGGACAGAGCACTGTTCGTTCCACTTCAACTTATTGCATTAGGTGCAGAAATAAAGAACAGACCTATAGTTTTCGTGAATACACCGTTCGAAAATTGACAGCGGGAAAAGTGTCGGTACATACTTGTTGGAGCAAAACGTGCAGAAACCGACCAATTTTTTCCTAAATCAATATTATCCGTTATTATTTAATATAATATGGATAATGATAGCATGAATTTTCATAATATCGTAGACAGTACCGTAAGTATTAAACAGAATGCATTTTTAAACAATTTAATTGTGCGAGGATGCATGTTGGAAATGTGAGGTTAGGTTAGGTTAAATTATAGCATTAAATTAATTCTACATACATAAAAAAATATTTCTTGACATTTAAAGAAAATTCTTCTTAGCCTGAATTGTATAAAAAATGTATGAAAATTCGTTAAGGCAATGTATACATGCTCTTGAAATTTTTAGACCGCCGGAAAATTATAGCGATCATGCCGACATGCCGGTACCGAGATCGTTTCGTCTTCCTGTGGATTTGCTTTTTATAATTGAACATTAATTGTGTATTTTTCATCTTTTCTCTTTCTCTTCAATGTTTGTTATTATAGCTAATATTTTCTGTTAATAAAGCGAAATAAATGTCTGTACGAAAGTTGATGAAAACAGAGGAAAATTCTAATGCAATTCAGTGTAGAAATAAAAGCTAAATCCTTAATCTTAATGTATTTGATTAATGAGTTCAAGTGTTTTAGCAGAAATAATTGACTATTGAAAAAAATTAAACGGTTATATGATTATTGGATGTATTTTTTATGTCTTTTGTTTTATATAAAATATAATTATATTTTCTAAAATAATTTAAAACATACTCATATATACTGTAAGATTTAATCTTAGAAAGATAAGCATGCTTACATTTGATGAAATTTAAATTGCATTTCTTAAATAATTTTTACAATATATTTTATATTTTACATATTTTACACATTTTAGTATTTGTTTGGTAAGATACAGGGTTTCTTAAATAGCAGACACTAATCATATAGCATTCCTGATTAAAAATCGTTAAAAATTGAATCGAAAAGTCTTCTATCATTTTGCAATTTTCGTGATAGTTAATGGTTGGGCAGCCGCATACGCGCTTATTCGGCAATATTTATAAATTAATATTTCGTCAACCATTCCGAAAATTGCAAAATTGACTTTTCGACTTAATTTTTAATTAGGAATAACGCTGTATGATTAGTATCTGCTATTTAAAAAACACCCTGTATATTATAAATAAAATGAAATTCAATATTATGCAAACATTTCTAATAGTTGCACCAACGTTGACTTTAAGCGGCTTAAAACTCTCCCTCTCTTTCAACTTCAAAGAGAGAAAATGAGAGTTTTGAATCTCTTAAAGTCAAATTAATGTTGATGCAAATCAGGTTTCAATTAAAAAAAAATTAATATTTTTAAAATATATTTCCAAGCCTATGAATAACTAGCTAAAGATTAAAGAATATTTAGTAGCGCATATATTTAATTTTTTTTTCTGCTTTTGTCAATTGTGTATTTTTCAATCATTTGAAATATGATTTAACAAAAAATTTTCAGGAACATGATTATAAAGTAAAGAAAACGAAAGAATCAATGTTGTTATTGAAACAGAAAATGTGCAAAACAGAGTAAGTGTTTCTTAAGTGTTTCTATTTTTTTATTAGATTAATTTTTTATTAAATTAATTTTGATATACTATCAATATCATGGAAAAATTAATAAAATTTTTACTGTTTCAGTATTTTAATTAAGCAATATACTCAAAATATGAAAGAAGTTGAAAATTTAAAATCAAATTTGGAAATCGCAAAGAAAGAGGCCAAACACATAATATCCGATTATTCGTCCGCCAAGGATGAGATAAGGGAGTTAAAATGTGTAAATAAATAATTCTATTTTTGTGAATATTTACTTTGCGTGAATAAGCAAATTTCGATCACAATTAGTTCGAAAAGTTAATCTATTTATTTTTGCATGTTAACTGACACGCTTTTTTATTTTTTTGAAAAATTATTGTTTTGTGTCATCGATACGTGACAAGTGCGGATTTTAGTGCAATACAAAATTGACAATGCATAAATGTATGTATTTTTGTAGTATGTAATTATTTATAGTATTAGCTTTTATTTTCTTTAAATTCTTTTTAAGAAAATATTGGCTATAACTTTAATTTTACATTAGAGGTTGAAAATGTGAATATTATATCTCAATGAATAATAATTAATTATGAATAAATAATTTTATTTTATATATTATATTATATATATTTATGCTAGTTTGCTCATATTGGCTGTTTATATTGATGTGAATATTCTTGATTAGATTTTTTTATAAGTATCGTTCTTTATTTTAATTATTATTATATCTTATACATTAATAATATTTTTTAAATTTCAGAAAATTGTAAAATATGAACAAAGCAATGAAAAATTAACGAACAAAATAAATGACTATAACATAAATATAGCTGCAGATAAACAGAGTATACAACAATTAACATGTAAAATAAAAGAACTGGAAGAAGAACAATCAGCTAAAATTATGGAACATAATTTGGACAAGTCATCCTTCGAAGGTAACGATAAATTAAATCTCTTTTATATTGTATTATTTCTGTTATTTCTATTATCTGTGTTATTTCTTATGTATATATTATGCGATATATACAAAAATTAAATTTGTTTATTATTTATGTCTAAATAAGATTTATTCTTTGTTTACAGATAAAATTAAAGAATTGGAACATGAATTAAAAATGTTAAAAAAGGATGATATATCAACTGTGACGAAAAAAGGTGGTAAAAAAAAGGAGAAAAAAATAATTTCTACAGATGTTGATACGTCTAAGCAAAGTATAAGTCAGTACAAAAGAAAGTACAAAACTTAAAGCACTTATTTTTTTATTGTTACTTATTATGTGAATCATTTATAGGTATAAAATCTACTTCAGATATTGGTATTAATGTATCACTGTGTAATATTGAATCAAGCATAAAATGCGAAGTACGAGACCAAAATATTATGACTGATGAATTTTATCACACAAAAAATAATCCACATCCATTGTTTTGTGAAAAATGTGAAGCTCATTTGTCCCCAGAGTTGACTCCTGAAAAAATATTCAAAACTATGGTTGCATGTCCAAAATTAATTGAAAAAGATTTGCCTCCTTCACCGAAAAAGATTTATTCGCCGCCATGTCATTCATTATCTAGTAAGTAACAGTAACTAATGCAATGTCATATGCGTTAATCATATACATGCTTTTATTGTATACAAGATGTCCGGAAAAAAGCTATATCAACTTATATAACTTTTTTCCTTCTTTTTGGGTCCCGAATCACTTCCCGAATTATTGCGGGCGATTTTCCGATACCCTGTATAATATATCTATATTACATTGTATTATTAGATTTATTATGTTTACATCTATTTTTAATTTTTAGATACCTACCTGGATTTTACAAATAGAAATGAAGACTCTCTCTCTAAAATATCATCTATACCTCATCTATGTCCTTATAGCCCATATAGTGATTCAATAGCAGGCAATATAAAATCACAATCGGGGAGGTCATCCACAATGACACAAATTTGCGAAAATGTTGAATTAAGAAATACGGATATTTCACATATACCACTTGTAACCAATATACCCAGTAATCTCAATGCAATTCCTACCTTGTCTCAAAATAATAACTGTGCAAGGGAGCATTTCTGCTCTGATGATTTACTAGTTAAACATTCTATATCTATTAAAAAAATGAAAAGAAAAATCCAATCATTAAAAAGTAAAATGAAAAAGTTTCGAAGATTGAAGAAAAAAATAGATACTAATTCTCGTTGTCGTTGCGTTATGAATCATAAGGATGATATCTCGCTAAATTCGAATCTAATTTCTTTAATCTGTAAAGGTGTAGCAGAATATTTCAATGAGAAAAAAGAAGCATGTCCTAAAAATGAGCGAGATATCGATTCGGAAAAGTGTATTTGTTGCTCAAAAAGGACAGAGCTAAAAAGGAGACAATCATGTAATGCATATAAAAGCATGTTTTCGAAAATTGAAAATTTTGATGAAAATGAACGAGTACGAGATACATGTTGTGATAAAACTGAGAATGCTACGAATATTATTGATGTTTTACAATTTAATCATACATCTAAGAATATATTGTCGAGTGTACATAAGAATTCATATTCCAATATAAATATATCCAGCACATCTCTTAATGACATTGAAATCGACAAAGAGTTACTTCATAAGCAAAATACATTGCATTCAGTAGAAGTAGTACCTGTTGAAAATAATTTTACGATGTCACGTTTAAGCATTGACAAATTATATGTAAACAATGATATCTTAAATAAAAATAATGTAGTAGACGCTAACGATGTAGATAATCAAACTGAAACTGGAACAATGTCCTTGTCTAACAATAAAAAATCTTTGGATCATGCTGATGGCAAAACTATTGACATTAATACAGAGGAAAATAAAATAATAAAAAAAGATGAAATTATACATAAAGATAAGTTTAATGAAATATATGCAAATGATAATATCTCACATAAAGATAATATAGAAGATATCGATATGGATAACCAGAAAATTGGAATGATATCTTTATTTAAAGATGAAAATTTTTCTGATTATACTAAAGATAAAATTATCGACATTAATGCAGAAAAAAATAAAATAGAAAGAAAGGGCCAAAGTGTGCATAAAGATCAAGTTGATGAAATGTACACAAGAGATGATTTCTTAAGTAATCATACTATTGATATTCAGATAGAAACTAGAAATATATCTAATGAAAATTCTACTGATAATGGCAAAATTATTGATATTAACACAGAAAGTGAAATGAAAAGAAAGAGTCAAAATATGCATAACGATAAGATTAGCGAAATATATGCAAGCGATGATCTTTTCGGCAAAAATAATGTAAAAGCTATTGATATGGATAATCAGATAGAAGCTAGAACAATATTCTTATCTAACGATACAAATTCCACTTATCATGCTTATAGTAAAATTGACGTGAATGCAGAAGAAAATAAAATAAAAACAAAGGACCAAAATATAAATGAAGATAAACTTGATGAAATACATGCAAGCGATAATCTTTTAAGCAAAAGTAATGTAGAAACTACTGATACGAATAACCAGACAGAAACTAGAACAATACTATTACCTAATAATGAAAATTCTACTATTGATGGCAAAATTGTTGATATTAATGCAGACAAAATTGAAATAAAAAGAAAGTGCCAAAATATATACAAAGATGAGCTTAAAATAAACACAAGCGATAATATCTTAAACCAAGATAATGTAGAAATTGTTGATATGGATAGCCAGACAAAAACTAGAATGATATCTAACAATGAAAATTCCACTGATCTTGCTCATAATAAAAGTATCGTTATTAATGTAGAAAAACGTAATATAATGAGAAAAGGCCAAAATATACAGAAAGCTAAAGTTGGTGATCGCTTATTAAAGAATTTACGAAATTTAAAGAGAAAGAAGCAATCAATTTCGCGTTTAAATAAGCAAGAGAATATTAAATCATATTCAGATCACAATTTTGAAAATCTTGAATTAGCAAAAAAACCGCGAATTGAAAACGAAAAAGAGATTAATGACAGTTCATTAAATCATATTAAAAATTTGAAAAGAAATTTAGATATACAAGCAGAGTCCACAAATAAACAAACAGATGATAAATTATGCTCTAACCATTATGAACCGAAAAAAGTACGAATCGCACATACTCCAAAAATGTCAGTTCATCAATTGAGCGTCAATAGAAATAATTCTACACATTGTACGATAAGAAATATAGCTATTTTAGCTACTTTAGCGATTCGACAAAAAAATAATGTAAATCAACAATTAAATATTGACAAGGATAATTCATTAATTGAAAGCAAGAAGAATCCTATAATAAATAAGAAATGTGATGAGGAAAACGTTGTCAAGTCTATCGAAACAAATAGTATTGACGAAAGACTTGTAAACGAAAAAAATTTAAATTTGATGAATATTGAAAATTCTCTTCAAAATAATGATATCACTCCACCTGCTATTAATATTGAACATGCTGAGCTTGCGAAATGTGATGATGTGATTGAAGATACAACCAACAAAAATATTTCAATAGATAGAGTAGTAGGAGAGACTTTGAACAATAGTGACGAGTCGAATGTAGTACACAACAATATTGTAAATGGTACAGCGAATAATTTAAAACTTGAAAAATCAATTTCATTGAGAACACGTGTTATTACCCGCTCTATATATAAAGACTTAAAACATGACAAAGTTAGTGAAACATTGGATACAATTAAAACTAGAAAAGAGATGTCGCCAACCGCTGAATTGGAATATGCTTCTGAGATATTTGGAAATAAGAGTCACAACGATCACATTTCAAATGATGAATCATCGGTTCTATCTGATCGATCAAACATGGAAGCAACACGAAATGAAGATTACAATACTAGCGGAATATCTGACGGGACTGTTGCAATTCCATGTTCACCATTATCGAGAGACATCAATGAAATGAATAATGCAAGAAACATACAAGAAAAAACTTGTATTAGTAATAGAGTAATTAAGATGCAGGCTATCGAAATAAAAACTCAAAATAAAAATCTAGTCATGAATCAACGAAATAAAAAAATGGAACTTGTCTTTGTCCCTCATAATTTCGAGGAATCTCAGGCGCCAATATCACGATTATATAAATATATTAACAAAAAGAAATGTACCAAAAAACATAAATTATCATGTAAAGAAATAAAATACGCTTATAAGATAACAGGTATATTTAACAAAAATATGATTTCAAGATATAACTTTTGAAATGAATAAAAAAACAATTATATTTAGATCTAACAATCTATATTCCAGGTTTCAATAATTGATATAAACATAAATATATATAAAAATTTTATAAAAAGTATATTTCAAAATATATTTTTTCTTAAAGAAGTTTAAAAAAACTCTTAGTTTTAAGTGCTTTCTCTTAAAATATACTATATTTTAAACAAGATTATTAATTTAATTCTGTATATCACATATGTTTTAGATAAATTTGTAAAGAAGCAATTACGACGACTTATGAATAGTGATTGGAAAGATTCTATATATGATTCCATACATGACGATATAAAAGTAAAATTGAAAAATACTTGCGGACCTCGTATCATAGCCAAGTTAGTATGCCATTTTGTGACTTTTAATATGTAAAAATGTCAGATTAAGTTACATATATTAAAGGTATTATTTCATTATATTAATAGAGCAGTATATAGCAAACAATTAGTTCCCCAATAATTCAACATTTATCTTGTTTAACTACAGAAACATTAAAGCATTGATTAAAATGAAGCAATAAAATTAGAAGTTTGCATATTAAATGAATAAAAAGAGGAAAATAATATTTCTTTTGCGTCCATTTTAGATGCATAGTAGAGTTTATAATAGACGAAGTCGATCATACAGAAGCTTTGGATAAATCATTTACTCCCCCAGCACCATTGATGACGAAATTTGAACAGAAGATCGTAACGTTATTATTCGATTTAGAAGCATCGAAACCAATGGTGATTTATTTCGTACAAGCTGCCATCGAATTTCATATGTTTAGACTTGATAGTGATGTGAAGGTATATTTTATTTGTCTATAATAGAATATAACAATTTAAATCATGTTATGATAACAACTTTTCAGTTTTAAATTATTAACATTTTTATGTAGGACCCGATTGATTCGCTCACACGGATATATGTCGTTCTGTCACGTATTCAGAAGGATAGAGAAAAAGTACGCATGATGTGTTGCAGTGCTCTCTATTGCATGAATCTGAAATCAATAGCTGTTTTAAATACAATATTAATGTGCTGGTCTGAAGTTCTTCCGAATGCTGAGACGAACAAAGGTATCATATACATTGCAAGAAAAGCTAGTTTGTCAAGAAAAACAACAATAAATTCGATACATCACTGACATAGTAATGAATGACTTCAGCTTTAATCATTGAAATTGTGCACAAAATTGCATCGTTTATGTTTATAAATGTATATTGTTTAATGTATATTGTTTAATTCTTCCAGAAATATTATCAAAATGCATAGCCTTTCTTATCAACTCACTACATATTAGTACCGATAAAGACCGAATATTAAAGAAATTAAAGCATTTAAAATCATTGGTATCGAGATGTCATAACTATACTAGCGAAACAGTAAATGATATTGTTAAGGAACTTATGACTGCTCTTAAAGGTAAACATATTTGCCGCATCGCACATTTTTTTTTCTATTATATTAATTAACTGCAAATTATATTTTGTTTAGCTAAACGGATCGAGGGTTTGGATACAGCTATTATACTTGTTGCAAAGCGAGAAAAGGCACAATGGACATATAAAAATATTATTGAATCTGTTCTATTACCAATGATTATAAGTAATCAACATCCCTGCATATACAGTGCATTTTCTTTACTCGGTAAATTTTTTAAAATTATTGTATTATATTATTATTAAATTATTATATTATATTATTATATTATATTATTATATTATATTTTTGATGAAGGAATACTAATGTATTCGATATTATATTATTACTTACAGGAAGGCTTTTGCGCGCATTCCCATTACAAGATAAAAATCAAATTGTGCACGACATCTCTGAACAGCTCTGTGTCCTTATCCAATCTGGCCAAGGTAGTACATTCATTTTTCATGTGTATGAAAAACTAATTTTCAACACACCGATAACATATATGTTTATATACACACTATACATATATAATCTGATTAATTTTTTAAATAGGTTCACACGATCAACAAGAAGGCATAATATCTGCATTGCTCAGCCTTTCAAGACAAAAATTCGATGTTATATCGTGGCCTGTAATAAAATGGACGCCGAGTAAATCTTTAAGACCGATTGTCGACACACAACTGCAGACGTTCTTACATACACGTACTTCAAAATTTTGGAAAGAATATTTACAGAAAAAAAATATTAAACTTATCCAAAGTAAAACTTGAAGTTGATGAAATTAAGTAAGTGTAATTTGTTGTTAAATCTTTGTGTAATCAACAACTCAATGCTAACAATAATATTTTTAATTAATTAAGCAGAATTACAATAAGAAATATGTTGATTACGAACATAACGTTTAATGTTCAAAATTTGAAATACCAATTATTGTTTGATTTTAGCGAAGTTATAATACTTATAGTTTATATTTGATGATATAACATGTAGTTTTATTTCGCTGTTGTCATCTTGTTTGTCATGTTTATCTAATATAATTATTTAATTTTTCTATTAATTTACACATATTATAATATATATTTATTTTTTAAATGTGGATTAATTTTCACTCTTAAATTCTGTACAGTTCTGCTTGTTGTTAAAAAACCGTTTTTTAGTTCTAGTATTTATAGAAGAAAATTACATTTTATTTTATTATAAAATATTAAAATGTTTTCTTTTTATTTAGAACAAATTGATATTTCCTCTTGTAAAAATATATATAAATATTATAAAATTAACGCCTTTATATTGCTTATTAATTTTCACGTAATTCTTCTGTTAAATATCTCATAATATCAAATAATTACTCTCTGATTTTCATTTAAAGATTCGAAAGACTTAAAAATAATACATCTATACATTGTGTGGCCGAACTAAATAATAATTTAAAGAAATGAATAAAACATAATTAAAATCAATAAAATCATGATAAAGAATTATAAGTATATAAATAACTATTTTGTAAGTACCAACATCTACTATTGGATTTGACTAAAATTTAATACATTTTATATTCCTTAAATACAATGTTATTCAGTGATAAAATGAAATAAAATGAGATATTTGTATGATTATAACATTTCGATCTATTTCATGAGCAACACATTGAATTAAATAGCATTTCTGAAATAGTATTGTAGAATAAACATTAACAGTAAATCATTTCAATTGATATTATTTTACTTTAATATTATTCGAAATATATATCACAAGAATCTCGCCGGATGTGTATATATTAGAATATCAATAAAAAAAAAAAGATATAATAAAATGAATAAATCGCGTCAAACATCGATCACGTGATTTAAAAATTTTCAAACAAGAGAGATTTTATAGTTTTTATTTTAATATAATAATGATAAAAGTAATTATAGTAGCAATAATAATAAATAATAATAATAATAATAATAATAGATAATATTTAACATATCGTAAGTTTTCATTCACAGAGCACGCTAAGTTAGTACATGTACAAGGTTTTTTTACAAAAATAATAACAATGTTTTGATGCAACATTGCCGATCGATAATATCTCTCTTTTTACCTTTGTTAAAACGTTGTTTAGCAACTTTCAGATCAATTCTTAGCCATTTCCAAATTAACTGAATCTTTGGTATATTGATGTCGGATAGCATATTATAAAAGTTTGGTATATCTAATCCACTATTATCCACCATCATAAAATACCCGCAAGAATGAGCATAAGGATTGTCATTTCTAAGAACCAGCCATCGGAGAGTGACGCGGAATAAAGATTTGGGAATTTTGAATAAAATGGTATCATTTAACAGAATAAAAAATTAATGGCCGTAAGCATCAGTTAATGTTATTGCTTTCATATTGACTAATCGTTATAACTAAATTGATCAACGAATGATATCACAATACTATTGCAAATGAAGTTTCGTAAAATATTGTTTATTCTTTATTTTGATTTTTAGCAATTTCATGGAGTTGTGCGCCAAAATTCTAACTATGATAGTATATGAAAATCGATAAGAAATTTGGAACAATAAAGAAAATATATGTCATATATAATCGTATTTTATGATATATTGAATCGAAAATAGTCAAATTTTTTAAATTAAAAATTCGCACTTACTAATAATTATTAATTTTGAGTAAACTAATTTTGAGCAGCGTATACATCTTTCGTTTGACTATAAGAAATGCATCGTTTAATAGTGTTATTTCATACATCTAAAATTACAATTAACTCAACATGATATAATTTAAATAATGCTATTTACTTCAACTATATAGTAAGAGATAATTATCGATGGTGCGCGAAGGAAACCGCATTTATATCATGTTTTTGGATGACATTTTGGTGTCGTTTTTATATTTGTGTGTATTCGCACAGAATACAATACGCGATGTTATCTGATGTAATAAAATGTCATCTGTATGATACACTAATTGTATAAATTATTACCCTCTCAAAGCTGGTTATCATAATGCTTCATTTATCATCTCTGACGACAATTTACAAGATACAAATCATAATAAGGCTCTCGTTTGATTGGTTTGGATTCGGCCGAGTCAAGGAAAAGCATTAGATTAGTGGAAATACTAGTTAATCATCGAATGACATGAAAAAGAAAGGTCTTAAATTCAAGATCTCCGCATAGATTATCTTCAATTACAATGTCATACGCTAATGTTCCAGCAATAATTTTGTTGTGTGTATTTGTTTAGAATATGGAACAATTAATATTATCATTTGATTTGGAAACAAAAGAAAACATATGTTTAAAATATAGGACAAGTGACAATTTTATTATCTGGAGACACGGTAGTGTCTCAACGCTAAGCCAAGTTTAGCTATACATGTATGTATACAATGGAAGTATTAATTCCAAGATATTATAGCGAGTACTTTATTAATAAATTTTTTAGAAATAGCATCTTAAAATTAGAAGCAAAGGCCATTTTTTTTCTTTCATGCCATCCGATAGTTCTGTATTAAATACGCATTCTGGATTTGGATGTGACACAGTGCACACAATCACACATTCTATTTTCAGCACTCGTTTCGATACTGTGTATTTCATACATTCCTTTTCACAAACAAGTCCTTATTAAATAGTTTTATTGAAATAATAAGAATAATTTCTAATAGTAAACAAATAGTCATAATTAATTACATTAGTTAATAATAATAATAATAATAATAATAATAATAATAATAATAATAATAGTATACGTATTATTATTATTATCATTATATATTACGTAATATATATAGTAATAATAAATTAGGAACCACGTACAATATGAAATATGGGAAATTAAATTAGAATACATTTTGTTAATGAGGACTATTTATAAATAATAAAAATACCATCTGTATATTCGCTTTTATAAATGTTTAGGCCACGCTTTCGATTCTTACATTAAGTTTTTTTTCTCTTTCTCTTTAGCTCTATCTTTTTGTAGTAAGCAGAAATCTTGAGTAGTTTGAATAGAGAAAGCCGTTTGTTGTCATAACTAACGTGTCTCAAAGCGACGAGCGACGGGTGAGTGATTAATATGAAAAAGATGAAACAAAACAATGTTTGGAAGCTTTCCTTTTTTATATACTCGAGAGTATCTACAAATATACAAATTACTATCGTCGTTTAATGTCTTCAGTACCTGTTCTGTCACTCCATTAGGTATGTTTCCTTTTAACAAATTATATAATTATAAAAATATGCATTCGGTTTTTTTTTTAAGCGCAGTGCATCATGGTACGATGAGGTATCAGGCTGATGGAACGTAGTAATACGATGTGGCGAAAACATTGCTTTTTATAATTAATATAGCTTACGATCCGAGATATATTTAACGTAAAATAATTTACTATTTACAAGAAACTGAGACAAAATGACAAGAAGGCCCATCTTTCTGTACGCGATGAAATATCTCCAAATATACATATCAATTCCACTCTGTTGCATTATTAACATAATATTTGTAATACTGCATAAACTGTAAAGCAATCTGAAAGTTGGAAAAATTTTGAATAGAGAAATGAGATGTAAAAGAAATTATAAATCTGGTAGCAATTGTGCATGTAATCGGAGACTGAGCCTTTTATTTAAATAAATAAATAATGAAACAAGAGAGAATGATGCATGATCAATATAATTTAATATTAAACATAGCAATTTTCTTGATTTTACGAAACAACAATGCCGGCATTTTATTTTTTATTTTACGTACGAGATGAATATTAATGAGAAATGATATTCGAAATTAATATTTGAAATTATATATGCGTATATCATTCAATATCGAGATAAATAGGACGAAAAGTATTCTTTGAATTTCATATTAACTCTCATCTATGCAAACAGATGAAGTTATTTAGTCGCAGTTTTATAGGAAATTAGCAAATTATGATCTGCGCAAAGTCATTGAATTTATTATTCTACCGTATTTGTTGCTTTATCTTGTAATAATAGCTAACGGTGTTTTTAATTCCAGTTTTTTTTAAATTTTTATCGCTTTTAATTGCAGATATGGAAACGAAAATTAATTCACTATAAGTACGTCATTTTTGTGTGCCTAAGATTTGGTAAACGATATTTCGCATTATAGGAGCAAAACGTCTTGAGAAAATATTTGTCAATATATAACAGTACAACGCCGGATGGCGATCTGACGTCAATAGACTTTCTAACCGATTAGTAATAAATAGCATCTCTATTATTAGCGGCAAAATGTATTTCATATGTGCTTAGGGAACTATTGCTTTCTGGTAAGACATCGGATTTAATCTAGATTTAAATCTTAGATATTTCTACGTAAGACACATATGTTCATTAACCCTTTGATACTAATAGTACGTTCCATCGCGTTCACGAACATTCTTTGGAAGAGCCTAGTGAAAGTATAATGTAAATTACTAGATCTAATCGCAATGTATTAGACCTCTGCGACGAGAATATGAGCTATTGTAGAACGTATTTATGTTTATATATTATCATATGTATCTGGAGATATATCAGATTAAAGTCTTTTACGAATAACAAAGTTAGGATAAAGTACAAGTAGCATACGTACCAAGAATCAAAGGTTTTACCTTGTCTACTATCAGCGCTTTGCAGCTATTGATTTCTCAATGTTTTACAAGATTTTGTCACTAGCGTGTATCAGCGTCCTGCGCTCGTAACACGGTTAGCAATTGGACGACGCTCATCGCTAATTTTAACGAGAGAAATACACAGACAATTTTCTTTCTCTCATTCTTATTTGATCTTACTTGATCAGGTGTACCACAACTATTTGCTTTCTTACAAACGAGAGTAGAAAGGCACTACTTTTACAACTGTGTGTGTGCGCGCGCGCGTGTGTATGTGTGTGTATGTGTGTGATGCGTGTATTGTTTTTCTTTCTTTTTTATTCGTTGATGAGTGATGACAATAAGACGCGATACTATACAAACGTTTACATAAAAACCAACATTCAATGGTCGCGAATCTGTCACTTTCACAGAAGAATCTACGGAAACGTTTCGTCCTCGAACGTTATTCATGCGAAGTCTTGTTCCACTTTTAAACTTTTGGACGTAAGATTCTTCGTGAATCGTCCATCGAGATGTAGAAGGAATACACAATAATCGACGAGCATTAAACGTCTCTTCGATCAAACGGAGTACATGAGTGCGACAATACGGGGAATGTCTTGATATTACGATATAATAATCGAAAAGAGCCAATATTGTCGTGCCGTACGTGTCATCAGCTTAGAAATCGTACTTGATTTATGTTCGTTTTTTTTCAGCACCGCGTTAGGATGGTCAATCACTCGCTGAATCAAATAGTGGGATTATTTCCAATACGTTCGCTAATAAAGGCTACTAAAGGCCGCTGCTGTCGAGATATTTCAAACTACCTTCAACTAATCGAGTAGTTTATTCGACGATCTTTTGTACGTCTCGAGTATCGCCGATAACGAATCCTTGCAGCAAAACATTGTATATGGACGACGCGTCACGTAGTTCGCTATTGGCTCGAGGGCTTATTCTCGCTGATGGATGCCATCCTCATCGATTCCGTTTCTGGACAATTCCAATTGGGCATTCTCGTTTGTTCTATCGTCGCCTAAGAAAAGATATTTCGAATGATGTATTATTATTATTGATTGTCGCGAATTATTGGAATCTGCATTTCGCATCTAATCAACATTAATATTTAGATAGAACTGTGTGACACACACGCACGCACGCACGCACGCACGCACGCACGCACACACACACACACACACACACACACACACATTATCTTACCGAGTTGTTAGAATTCTTGGCCATGAAGATCATAAGAGAGCGGCTGCGGTTGCTAAACGGCCTCAGCTCCGGATCTCGGCCAGGACCATCCACCGTATCGACGCAGTTATTGCTGCAATGAAAAGAAAAAAAGCTGAATGTAATATTTACTGTGAGTCTGAATCTGTACCACAATAAGAGAGTTGTGAATTCCTTCGAGAAGTCAAAGTTGTGATCGAGTTCTACTATAACTAAAATAACGAGAAATAATAAATAATAAATAATATTAATTACCTCGATCGTAATTCCTTCTGTTTTCGCTTACAATGGATATAAGCCGCTATACAAATGATAACGACGAGGAATACTGCTATTGTGGCACCGCCGGCGATGCTGGCTGTCTCCAACATTACTCGTTGCCGTGAAGCTATAAAAAAAATCATTTTTATTTCCACTTTGTTAAATAATATATTCGGAAAAGAAATAATATATGATACTTCAATACTTATGCGATTTAATAATTCTATTTACTTTAATTATATTTTGGTAACAAAAAAGAAGTTCCGTGAAAGACTTTAGTTTTCAAATTACAAATGTTGTTAAATACGATAAAAAGTGTGATATTTTTGTCTAGAGTTTGTCAGTAATATACAATAAATTGAATTAATGATATTAATATGTGATTGAAGTTTGGAGGAGCGTTCGTAGAGCGAAAATTAAATATAAGCTCACAGTGCCCACATTGAAATAACAGACAATTGAAGATATCACTCATATATACATGTGACCGAAAATTTTGTTTATGTCAAGGCGTTTCAAACGAAAATCTAAGTACGAATAAAATGCCTGAAATTACTATCGATTAAAAAAAATAATTCATTGAGATCGTGTACCCGGAAGCGCTTCGAATAATGGCGAACCGCCCGATCGGCCGTACGTGCGCTCGCAAATTTCCTACGTTTGTCCCTGCGTCCAGAATCAAAATCTAAAAAGTGTTTATATAATGTCTGAAGTCTAGTGCACACACGCCATGCGTAACGTCCCAAGAGACACCATTTATGCTGGTTGCCGTACGCAAAAATTGTATTTGCCAAATTATCAAAATGCCTACATTTTACGAAATTTAACCAAATCCTCTCTGGACATGATTTTTGCTGTTAAATATTATTACGGATACAGAGAACTCCCTACAACTACAACACTGTTGTGTACTCTAGCTAGAAAATGAGATTGACTTCTGACTATTTCTATTTATTCCTTATTCTTATTCCTCACTCTTTCAGACGTCACAGTAAGTAAGTAGTAGTAAATAGTAACAAATGAATACAGGCGTGTCGTTCTACTCCTTAAAAAAAACTTATGGGGTGGAGAAAGGTGCTCGTGAAGGTCTGACAGTGAGCGTCATTTTCTCGTTGAACAGCGAATTTAAAATCGAGCATGAACGTAAATGACCCCCATATACGCTCAATGCATATTTGTTGTATAAATAAGAAAATGATTATTCGTGTTATTTGATTATTTTTATAAGTAAAACAAACACATACATATATAACAAAAAAAATTTTTATTTAGTGTTATCTTACAAGGAAACACAACCAATCCTCCTCCGATTAAAATGAGCTTTTATATGTTTTTAATATGTTGTTCTATGGACAAGAATAAGAGATAAAGAGATAAGAAAATAAGAGATGTATTTTTTTATATTGGTTGAGTTGCATCTTAAAGAGGTGGAAACCTACCTTGGAAAAAAAAAAACGAAGTGAATATCTTCAAAAAAACTAAAAGATATTGAAAAAATTTTCCAGAATGTAAATTGAATGAACTTCAAAAGTACTTTATAACTATAGTAAAAAAAATTTTTTAATTTTTATGTCGAAAATTAAAGAGTATTTTACGCTGAAAATAATGTGTATTAAAGTCACGCTTCGAAAAATTATTTTTCAGATAAGAATGAAATCGTTTCTATATACACGTTCCATATTCATTTCATACTGCGTTAGCTGCGTGATGAAATAGCGATGAGGATAAACACAATTCGTTACAATGCAATATCAGTACAGTAATGACTATTGAAATAAGTTTTTTTAAGTAATAAGTACCAACAATAATAGTGACTTTATAAAATTGCTAAAATCAGTCAAATCTTTTGAAGATATATAAAAGAATGTACGAAATATTTTGGACAATTAAAAACAAAGCATGAATAAAGAAATTATTATGTTTATAAAATTTTATTCATTTCATTTTCATCGTAGAGCAGCTAATTCCAATATTTAATATTGACATGAATAATGTATTACTAAGACGTTGTGTCTTATTAGTGTGATGCTATGCAGAAAATAGATTTGCTGACGTATTATTTTGTTTGTACTTTGTTAACGTGAAAAAAGTAATTATAATGCGTCTTATTAATGCAACGCTATGTAGGAAATAGATGTGTTCCTATGTGCAATAGGCTAGTAGCATAAGCGGCACTGATTGTGAATTGTACAGTGGATTGATACTGTCAACTTTTCAATAGAAATAACGTGCAAATGTGGTGCTTCTTATCAATTTAAAATAAATATAACATGCAATTGTAAAGTTTACAATATAAATTGAAAGTAACGTGCAAATGCGATGTTTCTTATCAATTCTTAACAAAGATACTTATTTCATTATTAATAATTTATTGCATTTGTCAATAATTTTTGTTTTTCATACACTTTTCTTTCTACTGTTGTTAATGCACAAAGAACATTCTAAACCCATGTAAACTTGTTTATTTTACTTCACTATTAGGAACGTAATGCTCCAACTTCCTGTAATGAACAAAGAAATCTTCATAAAGGTGCCAATATTAATTCATGATTAGATTCCGAAACTCGATTTCGAACTTATGGTCAAGGACATTTATTGGAATTTCTTTGAAGATCAGAAGTTAATCAAAGAGATTCTGCTGAAATAATATCACCAAGATCTCACGAAATTTCGAAGATTGAGGTAGATAGGCGGAAATTATTTATTAGTACATGAGCAAAATATTAAAAAATATGTTTTTGAAATTGTATTACATAAATTGTATTACATATTTATTTTTATATTTATAGAATATAAATTAAGAAGTAATGCATTGGCTATACTTTTTATTAAAAACAAGTAATTTTTGTGTATATTATTATTATTATTATTATTGTA